GTCTTATTAACTAGAGAAGATTCTAATGCTGTTCTAGACACTGGTGTGTGGTGGGGAAGGTAAAGGACTGGGAGCACAGAGTTCTGAGTTCTAGTCCTCTCCCTCCTCCTGTTGAATTTTAGTCCCCTCCCGACCATCTGCAGAAGCTCCTGGGTTCTCTCTCAGCCCCAGAGACAGTGTGGGGTAGTGGTGAAGGTGTTGGAGGAAGACTGGGGAGATCCAGGTCAGTCCGATGTGACTCCTCTCCTGCGCGAACTGCATTGGCTTCCGGTGGACTTCCAGGTGCGCTTCAAGGTGTTGGTGATCACCTTTAAAGCGCTCCATCGCTTAGGGCCAGGGTACTTACGGGACCGCCTTCTGCCACCAATAGCCTCCCACCGGCCGGTTCGCTCCCACAGAGAGGGCCTCCTCAGGGTGCCGTCGGCCAGACAGTGCCGGCTGGCGACCCCCAGGAGGAGAGCCTTCTCTGTGGTGGCACCTACCCTATGGAACAATCTACCCCCAGAGATACGAGTGATCTCCGACCTCCGGACTTTTCGCCGGCTCTAAAAACTTACTTTTTTCAGTTAGCCGGGTCTGTCTTGATTTTAGGGTTAGTTTTAAAATTTTGATATTGATTTTAAATTGACAAGTTTTAAATTATGGGCCAAATTTATAAATTATTTTAACTCTTATTTTTAATTGCAATGTTGTGTATAGATGTTTTTATTTTGGCTGTTTGAGTCCGAAAGGAGAAGTGCGGTATAGAAATTTGAATAATAAATAAATAATAAATAAATAAATAATAGAGAATCTATGTAGACCAGGGTTGAACTGTAGAGTCCTTGGTGCTCTCTGATCTTGGTTGTTTCCTTGTAGACGTTTCATTGCCCTTGCAGGTAACGCCATTGCCGAGTGAAGGAGAAAAGGAGAGAAGCAGGAGGATGTTAAGGGTTTTTGGTGCTCTTTAAGCTTGACTGCTTTCTTGGCAGACGTTTCATGACCTAACTAGGTAACGTCATCAATGCTAGAAGGAGTCATGTTTGCAGTGAAGGAGAAGTGGAGAAGGAGGAGGATTGTGGGGTTCTTGGTGCTTTCTGAGCTTGGCTGTTTTCTTGCAAATGTTTCATGACCTAACTAGGTAACATCATCAGTGCTAGAAGGAGTCGTGTTTGCAGAGTTGAAGGAGAAGTAGACAGAGTGGAGGACTGTGGGGTTCTTGGAGACGTTTCATGACCTAACTAGGTAACATCATCAGTGATAGAAGGAGTGGGGCTTGCTCTCTGCTTATACCAAAATACAATACTCCAATCAAGGAACCACCCACTCAAGTAAACAACAGTTTAAATCAAGTAACCACCAAGAGCATCCCATCAACCCTGACAGGGCAATATAAATAGAGCATCAAAAAAAAAACCCCACTCCCTTCTTCTGGCACTGATAATGTTACCTAGTTTGGCAATGAAATGTCTTCAACCGAGGGCCGTCGTTGCAGTCTAAACTGGTGGAGAAATGGGATTAGCCTCCAGAAATGGGAGACAAACTCGGATGACGTGGTCCTTGCCGCTTCTGCCAACGTGGTACGGGAAACTCAGCCTCCACGGAAGGACCCGAATAAAGAGATGGGTGAACAAAATGCCCGCTGTGTTGCAAGGCCACGTCTCCATAGCAACTTTAATTATGTTCTGGATTAAAAATGTGCTCTGCATAACAGGATGAATTTTAATGAGAAGGGGTAGAAATGTGCTGGCTGATTCTTTTTTCCACCCTGCATCTAGCCAAGCATTATCTGATGCCGAGCAACCAAGAAGGAGCAAAAATACACTAAATGTCCCCCCTGCTGGATTTCCTAATCTCTGCAACCTTGGTTTTAAAATGTGGTTAAATTTGGATTTTTAAGAATTTGTGGGGGGTAGAAATTTGGGCCCTCAGAGATTTGCAAAGATGCAGTTTTCACAAAGACTAAAAAGTGTGTTCTGTGGTTATGTTAGCTTTTTTTCTGGGTTTTTCCCCCCTCCTTTGGGGTTTAGTTCACATGCTTGCAGCCGCAACAAAAAGTTGTCGAGATTCTTTTTGACAAGTTTTTATTTCAATAGCAAAAGCCTGCTATTGAGTGACTTGGGAGTGGGGTCAACTTTTCCTTTGTTTACAAACGAATATTGTATTTTTCGGAGTATAAGACGCACCTTATATTTTAGGGAGGAAAATAAGAGAAAAGCTGATCGGTGGATGGATCGGCCTCCTGGAATACCCCCAATCAGCTGTTCCCAGAGGTGAATTTTAGCAACAGGTTCCTTGGTTGTGAGCTCTGTGCCTTGCTTTTATTTTTGCTTTTTTTTCCTGCCTCTGAAACTTCTGAAACTCCCTTTCAGAAAAAAATTTCTTTCCTGCCTCTGAAAGCCTCCGAAACAGAGCTTCAGGAAAAAAGCTTCTGAAGCTCTGTTTGGAGGCTTTTTTTTCTAGAGCTCTGTTTGGAGGCTTCTTTTCTGAAGCTCTGTTTGGAGGCTTTGAAGCTCTGTTTGGGGGCTTCTTTTCTGAAGCTTCGTTTCGTTTCTGATGCCTTTTTCAGCCTCTGAAACCTCCGTTTGAGAAGCTGGGCAGGGCTTCATTTTGAGAACCAAGGACTTCATATTACTTTGTTTTCAGGTGCTCCCACTTTCTGAGACTTGGAGAAATTTGGACTTTAATGAACAGAAAACACATATTCATGACAGTATTATTTACAATCTTCTCATAATTATAATTACGAAGCCTTAGGAAGGCCACACCTGGAATACTGCATCCAGTTTTGATCACCGCATTACAAAAAAGATGTTGAGACTTTGGAAGAAGTGCCGATAAGAGCAACTAAGACGATTAAGGGCCTGGAGACTAAAACATATGAAGAACGGTTGCAGGATTTGGGTTTGGCTAGGCTAAAGAAGGACCAGGGGTGACACGATAGCAGTCTTCCGGTATTTGAGGGGCTGCCACAAAGAAGAGGGGGTCAATTTATTTTCCAAAGCACCAGAAGGCAGGACAAGAAACAATGGATGGAAACTAACCAAGGGGAGAAGCAACCTGGAATTAAGGAGAAACTTCCTAACAGTGAGGACAATTGATCAGTGGAACAGTTTGCCTCCAGAAGTTGTAAGTGCTCCATCACTGGAGGTTTTTAGGAGACTGGACAGTCACCTGTCTGAAATGATATAGGACCGTGATGGCGAATCTATGGCACACGTACCACAGGTGGCACGCAGAGCCATATTGGTGGGCACACGAGCATTGCCCTAGCTCAGCTCTGGCACGTGCCAGTCAGCTGATTTTCAGGCATTCCGGGCCCACCGGAAGGCTATTTTCGGCCTCCGGAGGGCCTCAAGGGGGGTGGGGAAGGGCGTTTTTTGCCCTCCCCAGGCTCCTAGAAAGGCTCTGCAGGCTGGGGAGAATGAAGAATGGGCCTTCCAGTCCCAATGGAAGTCGGCAAACGGGCCATTTACGGACTCCGGGGGAATGGGGAAGGCTGTTTTTGCCCTCCCCAGGCTCCAAGTAAGCCTCTGGAGCATGGGGAGGGTGAAAAACGGGCCTACTGGGCCCACCGTGCCATCACATGCCAAAAGCGGGAGGAGCGCAGGGGTGTCATGTGTGCCTGTGCGGGGGGAGCGGGGCGCACTGAATTATGGGTGTGGGCACGTGTGGGTGTGACCCCCCCATGCTTCCCCACGCTTTTGGCACACGACGGCAAAAAGGTTAGCCGTCACTGGTATAGGATCTCCTGCTTGAGCAAGGGGCCTGGACTAGAAGACCTCCAAGGTCCCTTCCAGCTCTATTCTGATTCTGATTCTAATTAACCTCAATCAGGTAGAATTATCCAGCTTCAGTATAGCGGCTTTACATGACGTCAGATCACTGATGTCGTTACGTTTTTGGAAGAATCTTTTCCAAGGCAACCTGGGGATGCAAAACCTGTACGTTGTTTGCACACAAACAGGTGCTGGCAAACCGTAGGCAAGAGAAACCTTTCAAGTGAGGGTTTATAGGTTCCCCTCGCATATACGTGCTAGTCGTTCCTGACTCTAGGGGGCGGTGCTCATCTCCGTTTCAAAGCCGAAGAGCCAGCGCTGTCCTAAGATGTCTCCGTGGTCATGTGGCCGGCATGACTCAATGCCAAAGGCGCACGGAACGCTGTTTCCTTCCCATTAAAGGTGGTCCCTGTTTTTCTACTTGCATTTTTTAAACGTGCTTTCGAACTGCTAGGTTGGCAGAAGCTGGGACAAGTCACGGGAGCTCACTGTTGTGGGCGGCCAGCGGCCTGCGCGGATCGTGGTTGATCCCGATGATGAAGAGGCTGGTGTGGGGTCGCGCCAGCAGCCTGAGCAGCCGGCGATCGCATCGGACAGCGAGGAGGCTGAAGAGGATGTGGTGCCAGAGGCAGAGACTCAGCCAGGGCCTTCAGAACCTCCAGAGGCTCCTTCAAGTGGAGAGAGCGAAGTGGAGGAGCCTCTCCTCAATGCTCGAGCATGCAGAGCTGCCAAAAGGCAGGAGTGGCTACTCAGGAGGAGGAGGTCTACTCGAGAGTAGGGCTTGAGGATAATTGGCCACTCCCTTAGCCTATTTAAATCGCACGCAGCTAGTGCTTTCTTGCTGGAAACAACTAGTATTTATTATCAGAGTATTTTGGTTTATCGTATCTTGTTTTCTGGGCTGGTTGCCAACCTTTGCCGGTCTTGTTTATTCTTGCTACTTAATAAATTTGATAAGGACCGTTGGTGTGTGTCAATATCCTTGGGAATCCGGAGCTGGGGGAGAACACTCACCCCGTTATGCGGCGCTAGGGATTCGAACCGCTGAACTGCCGACCTTTCGATCGACAAGTTCAGCGTCTTAGCCACTGAGCCACCGCGTCCCTCCTTGAGGGTTTAAAGTCTCCCTTAATCTAGTCCTACTTTGCAAATGTTCTTCCTTAAAGCCCTAACAAGCGAAAGCTTTCCATCTCTACGCCACCTTAAAGGATTCTCTGCTTTTATCTCTCCCTCTCGTTCCAGATGTTAGAAAATTGGATTTTGACCATCCTCGTTTCGTTAGGCGTTGGCTCAGTTCTGGTCCTCGTGGCCACGGTTATGCTCGTGAAGCATAACGTCCACGCCAAAATCTTCTGGAACGAGCTGGTTTTAGAGAAGATCACCAACTTCGTCATGGATCAAAGCAAGGAGCAGAGGATTTTAAATTCGGTCTCGTACAACGCCGTCAAGGGGGATCCGGAGAGCGTGTTGAATTGCATCGATAAGTACTGTGGCCAGTACGAGTGGGCCATGAACGTGGGAGACGAGAAAGGTAAATGACGTTTCGCCTTCTTTTTAAGAGATAAAAAAAAAAAAAGGCGTCAGAACAGATGGGAATATATTGCTAGTTTAAGAGCAGGACCCGAGAGACTGTTTTAGATTAGCCTTTTATTTAACAAGCTGCCTTCTCTTCTTTTGAAGTAGTTAAAAGGAGAAGCAGAAATACGTAGATCTGTAGTCTGATGATAAGATAGATAGATAGATAGATAGATAGATAGATAGATAGATAGATGATAGATAGATGATATAGATAGATGATAGATAGATGATAGATAGAAATAGATAAATGATAGATAGATGATAGATAGATAAATGATAGATGATAGATATAGATAGGTAGATAAATAGATGATAGATAGATTATAGATAGATAAAGATAAATAGATGATACATAGATAAATAGATGATTGATAGATAGGTAGATAGATGATAGTTAGATTATAGATAGATGATAGATTATAGATTATAGATAGATAGATGATAAATAGATAGATGATAGATAGATAGATAGATGATAGATAGATAGATGATAGATAAATAGATAGATGATAGATAAATAGATAGATTATAGATAGATGAGATAGATAGCTAGATAGATAGAGATACACACACACATATGTATGGGTATAGTTATATACAGGAAGTTCTCGATTTACAACAGTTCACTTAGTGACCATTCAAAGTTAGAATGGCACTGAAAAAAAAGTGATTTATGACCATTTTTCATATGTATGACTGTGGCAGCATTTGGATCAGGGGTGGGCTTCAAAAATTTTAGCAAGGGGTTCTCTGCCTGGTTGTTGGGTGGGCGTGGCCTAGTCGGCCTCCTGCACCACTGTGGGGGAGGGGGGGAATGTTTTTGCCCTCCCCGGGCTCCGGAGGCTTTTCTCGAGCCTCCAGGAGGGTGAAAACAGCCTCCCCAAGCTCCGGAGCAGGGGTGAAATGCTTCGGGTTCGGACCAGATCGGGTGATCCGGTAGCGATCGTGGTGGGTGGTTCGGCGATCCGGTAGCGATGGTGGAGCAAAGCTCCGCCCACCCACCCAGGTGTCATTACTTCCTGGTTTTAACCTTTTGCGCATGCATAACTGAACCGGTAAGGAAGGTAAGTAGATTTCACCCCTGCTCCGGAGGCCCTCTGGAGGCCAGAAATGGGCCCGTTTCCAGCCTTCCCGAACTTCCGGTAGGCCTGTTTTTAGCCCTCCCCGAGCCTCGGTGTGTGCCCTGCACTTACCTGCATCCAAAATGGGCTGCGGGGAGGGGAGGGGTATGCGGGGACAGCCAGAAGTGGAATTTGGGGGTTCTCCAAACTGCAGAGAATCTTAGCTAGAGGTTCTCCCGAACCCCTGCGAACCCCCAGCAGCCCAGCAGCCGATTCGGATGCTGACTCACATTTACAACAGTTGTATTATATCTCCTGCGTGAGCTGCACTGGCTCCCGGTGGTCTTCCGGGTGCGCTTCAAGGTGTTGTTTATCACCTTTAAAGCGCTCCATGGCATAGGACCTAGTTATCTTCAAGACTGCCTACTGCTGCCCCCAGAGATAAGGAGAATCCAAGACCTCGGTGCCTTCTGCCGTGCCCTTAAAACCTTCTTTTTCCAGCAAGCCGGGCTGGCCTAACACTTTTTAAAATGTTTTTAATTGTTTGTTATTGTTTTTAATCATGGGGCCAAATGTATATATATCTTTTTAGCTGTATTTTAATGTTTGTAGTTTATGCTTTTACTTGGATGTTCACCGCCCTGAGTCCTCAGGGAGAAGGGCGGTATACAAATTTAAAAATAAAATAAAATAAAATAAAATAAAATAAAATAAAATAAAATAAAATAAAATAAAATAAAATAAAATAAAATAAAATATTTGGATCAGCAAAGTCGATGGGGAAACCTGTGATTTTCCCTACCGTTTAGGATATGAAGAGGCTCCCGAGGATTCCGTCGACACCTAATGTCTTAATCGAAGTACAATTTTTCCCCCCTTTCGTTTTTGTTTCTCCCTAGGGATAATTCTAGACAAAACTGTCGAGGAAGCCGATCCGACGGTAGCCCTGGAGATGGGGACCTACTGTGGTTATTCGGCCATCAGGATCGCTCGCCTGTTGAAACCCAACGCTCGCCTCCTCTCCATCGAATTCAACCCGGAGTTTATACCCATCGCAAAAGAGATCATTGAAATTGCGGGACTCAGCGAGAAGGTCTGGATGATAAAGAGTTATCCGATCGGATGAACAGAGTGGGAAGGGAGCTTGTAGGTCATCTAGTCCAACCCCACCACCCCACCCAAGCAGGAGACCCTACCTACACCATTTCTGACATACCTGTGTCGTATTCTTCCCAGCAAGATGGAAGAGAAGTCGTTCGTTAATATGTCCTATTCATCCCAAAGGGGCTTTTTTTCAAGAGGCAACTGGACTTTCTTGGGGTTTTTTTCTTTGAAGACGTTTCGCTTCTCATCCAAGAAGGTTCTTCAGCTCTGACTGGATGGTGGGGGAATGGAAGGATTGATACTCCTTGCAGAGAGGTGGTCATTTGCATCCTTTTTAGAGAGTCTGTTGAGGCCACTTGGGAGGTTTGTCTGTGTCCTTAGTGGTGGTGCACCTGAGTGGTGCAAATGGGTGTGGAGCAGTGGTGAAATCCAAATTTTTTTACTACCGGTTCTGTGGGCGTGGCTTGGTGGGCGTGGCAGGGGAAGGATATACAAAATGTCCATTCCCATCCCACTCCAGGGGAAGGATACTGCGAAATCCCCATTCCCACCCCACTCCAGGGAAAGGGTACTGCAAAATCTCCATGCCCACCCCACTCCAGGGAAAGGATACTGCAAAATCCCCATTCCTACCCCACTCCAGGGGAAGGATACTGCAAAATCTCCATGCCCACCTCACGGGAAGGATACTGCAAAATCCCCATTCCCTCCCCACTCCTGGGGGAAGGATATTGCAAAATCTCCATTCCCACCCCAATCCTGGGGAGAAGGATATTGCAAAATCCCCATTCCCTCCCCACTCCTGGGGGAAGGATACTGCAAAATCTCCATTCCCACCCCCACTCCAGGGGAAGGATACTGCAAAATCCCCATTCCCTCCCTACTCCTGGGGGAAGGATACTGCAAAATCCCTATTCCCTCCGCACTCTGGGGCCAGTCAGAGGTAGTAATTGCCCGTTCTCCGAACTACTCCAAATTTCCACTACCGGTTCTCCAGAACCTGTCAGAACCTGCTGGATTTCACCCCTGGTGTGGAGCCTTCTTGGAACTGCTGAAAGGACTGTGTTGTAGACTGGAGATAGATGATGTCGTATCCCTTCCCCCTCCGTTGAGAGAGGGCTGTTCAATTTTGACATCGATGGCCTCTTTGACCCTTCTTTCAAACCAGCAATCCTCTCTGTCCAAAATGTGGACTTTGCTGTCTTCAAAAGAGTAGTCTTCTAAATGCAGATGGATTGCTAAATCATGTCCTGTTGGGCTTGTTCTCCTATGTTGTGCCATGCATTTATTTGATGACACAGATAAAACCTCCAGATGGCCTCAACGACCCTCTAAAAGGATGCAAATGACCAACTGTCTGCAAGGAGTATAAATCCTTCCGTTCCCCACCATCCAGTCAGAGCCGAAGAAGCTTCTTGGATGACAAGCGAAATGTCTTCAAAGAAAAACAAAGTCGAATTGCCTCTTGAAAAAGCATCTTTGGGACAACCATGACCTGGAAGACTGAGAATCTCCGTAGACGTGCCCAATTAATTTTCTTCCTCCTTGCTTCTCAAGTTTATTTAGTACTGATTCAAATCCAGGGACTGGACAAAAACAACAGTCATTCTGAGACAGCTGCAGGAGCCCAATACTTATAAATCACAAGCCGCAAGACAAACACTCCATAATAATAATAATATAAAAAGCACCAAGTTCTTATTATATTCTCTTCTTCAGTTCTGCTGCAAAGCAACACCGCTGAAGCCTTTTGGAAACCATTTTGTATTTGTAAAGGAGAATATTTGTAGCTGAGGGTTGAAATGAGGGCTCCTTGGTGCTCTCTGATGATGCTACCTACCGTATTTTTCGGAGTATAAGACGCACCTTAGTTTTTGGGGAGGAAAATAAGAAAAAAGCTGATTGGCGGGTGGATCGGCCTCCCCGAATACCTCCAGCCAGCTGTTCCCAGACATGAATTTTAGCAACTGATTCGTTGGTTGTGAGCTCTGTGCCTTGCTTTTTTTTCTGCCTCTGAAAACCTCCGAAACAGAGCTTCAGAAAAAAAGCCTCTTAAATTCTCTTTCTGAGGCTTTTTTTCTGAAGCTCTGTTTGGAGGCCTTTTTTCTGAAGCTCTATTTCTGAGGCTTTTTTTCTGAAGCTCTGTTTCTGAGGCTTTTTTTTCTGAAGCTCTGTTTGGAGGCTTTTTTTTCTGAAGCTCTGTTTCTGAGGCTTTTTTTTCTGAAGCTCTGTTTGGAGGCTTTTTTTTCTGAAGCTCTGTTTCTGAGGCTTTTTTTCTGAAGCTTGTTTCTGATGCTTTTTTCAACCTCTGAAACCTCCGTTTGAGAAGCCAGGCGGGGCTACATTCGGAGTATAAGACGCACCCAGATTTTCACCCTCTTTTTTGGGGGGAAAAGGTGCGTCTTATACTCTGAAAAATACGGTAGTTGGGTCATGAAATATCTGCAAGAAAGCCACCAAGCTCAGAGAACACCAATGGCCCTACTGTCCTCCTCTTCCTCCTCCTCTCCGCTCCCTTCTAGCACTGATGATGTTACCTAGTTGGGTCGTGAAACATTTGCAAGCTCAGAAAGCACCAAGGACTCCTCATTTTGTATTTGCCTTTTTTTTGTATTTTTTTGTATTTTTTGTATTTTATTTTTTTTTTGTATTTGCCTCTAGAACACTAGTCCTCATCATTAGCTACTTTAATTTCCCAGAACGCTGTCTGGGCATTGGGAATAATTGTGGGAATAGCACCCAGATTTAATTTCCCACCATATCAAGAAGCAAAAGATTAAGGAGGAAAACTGAGACAGATCCCATTCAAAGGATCCTTGGGGGTGAGGGGTGGGGAGCTTTGTAGGGTCAGTCTGTGTTCCAATCAGTTCATTGCTCCTTCTTGTAGGTGACCATCATTGAAGGCCATTCACAGGACATTATCCCTCAGCTGAAGAAGAAATATGAGGTGGAAACACTGGATTTCGTCTTTCTCGACCATTGGAAAGAAAGATACGCCCCAGACACTATTCTCCTTGAAGTAAGTTAAATTTTCTGTTTGGAAATCTTGAGCGTTTGGACATCTGTTTCTTTCCCTGCACCCCCATGAACACATTTTGCATTTTTCCAACCATATTAGAGATTTTGAGAACTTGCTGTTTTCTCCTTCTCGGGCATAAGTCTTATACTGAGGCCCGAGGATTTTTTTTTTGGAGATGGTTCGAGTTTTGCTTCTAAACTCTCCCTTTTCCTCATCCATTTTAATAACACAATAAGAGAGCTGGAAGGGACCTTGGAAGTCTTCTAGTCTGACCCCAGGAAGGAAGGAAGGAGGGAGGGAGGGAGGGAGGGAGGGAGGGAGGGAGAACAGAGTTGGAAGGGACCTTGGAGGTCTTCTAGTCCGACCCCCTGCTTGAGCAGGAGACTCTATACCATATGAGACAAATGGTTGTCCAATCTCTCCTTAAAAGCCTTCTTTTTTGGAAGGAAGGAAGGGAAGGGAAGGGAAGGGAAGGGAGGAAAGGAAGGAAGGAAGGGAGGGAGGGAGGGAGGGAGGGAGGGAGAACAGAGTTGGAAGGGACCTTGGAGGTCTTCTAGTCCGACCCCCTACTTGAGCAGGAGACTCTATACCATATGAGACAAATGGTTGTCCAATCTCTCCTTAAAAGCCTTCTTTTTTGGAAGGAAGGAAGGAAGGAAGGAAGGAAGGAAGGAAGGAAGGAAGGAAGGACAGAGTTGGAAGGGACTTTGGAGGTCTTCTAATCTGACCCTCTATTCAAGCAGGAAACCTGTACCATTGCAGACAAATAGCTGCCCTCTCTCTACTTGAAAACCCCCAGTGATGGAACAGGCAGAACTTCTGGAGGCAACCCCGTTCCACTGATTTAATTGTTCTCACTGACAAGAAATTTCTCCTTAGTTCTAGGTTGGGTTTCTCCTTGATAAGGAGATAATCTCCTTGATGATTTGATAATCCAAAATTCTCGGTTAGTGTTTCTCAACCTTGGTGACTTCATCTTCCAGAATCCCTTAGCCTGCATAACCATCGCTGAGAAATCTATTTGAATTGAAATCCAAACATTTGGAGGCTACCCAGCTGAGAAAGTTGTTAGACTTCAGTTTTCAGATGGTTATCAAAAAATCCCTAATAGCATGCTCAGAGTGTTTATGGATAGATTCTGTTCTGGCCCAGCCTTAGCAGAAGCAAGAAACAGACTCCTTGTCACCCCCTTTATTTATCTCTTGTGAATTAATGGCATTCACCCACCGAAAAGTCCAAGCAAGAGTCCTTCAAGGAGTTAACTGCAGTAACAGGCCTTATCAGTTCCTTGCGATAATTGCCAGGTCGTGAGCTCCCAGCTGAAAGGCTGCAAATTAAGTTCCAGCAAGCAGTCTTTGTGGCACGAAAGACAATGAGCAAAATCTCCCAGAAATACGAACAGTTGTCTCCTACGACCACCACTCCCCTTTCCTTCTATTTATTCCCCAGCCAGGGAGAGGACATTCAGCGTCCACGTGTGCTTTGCTTCCCGAGTTGACTCCTTGTCCACCGTTGTTCACCTCTCCTAACTGCTCTGCGCATACATGCGTCTGGAACAGGCCCCAGCTGTTCTTCCTCCTCACTCATCTCGGCCTCCAAAGGCAGCTGCCTCTCCGGTGGCTGGGAAATGTCGGACGGCCCTGGCTCTATCTCTGCGTCCGACACAGAGCATCCATCAGAGCCTTCCCCAGACTCCAGCACTGGCCCAAGTTCCTCCCCCCAACCTCCTCATCGTCCGAGTCTACCGCCAGCTCTGCTGGCAGCTGGCGGGCCACAACAGATTCTCAGTCATCCATGGTGGTCCCAAAGGAGCTTTTTCCAAAGGCAATCAGACTTCCTTGATTTTTCCTTGAAGACGTTTTGCTTCTCATCGAAGAAACTTCTCCAGTCCTGAACTGAAGAAGTTTCTTGGATGAGAAGCAAAACGTCTTCAAGGTAAGTCTAGAAGCCTAGAAATTAGAGAAGTCTAATCCCCCCCTTTTTTTTCCTCCTCTTCCCAGGAATGTGGTCTCCTGCGCAAAGGCTCCATCCTTTTAGCTGACAACATCGTCTATCCGGGAGCGCCAGAGTTCATTAAATACATTCGGAGTAACAGCCGCTACGAATGTACCAGCTACCCTACCTTCCTGGAATATATGAAGGTGGAAGATGCCATGGAAAAGGCTGTATATATGGGATAAGGGGTGGGGAGAGAGGCAGGGAGGGAGAACTTACTAGGATTCAACCTATGTACATGCGATCCTACGCGATTTAGTGCTTTAGTTTTGATTTTTGCCAATGGGAGCTTTCTGCAATCTTTCAGAGCTGGTTGTAGACCAGGGTTTAGGTATCCAGAGCCAAGTCAACTCAAGAACCACTTCTTCTACCAGAGTTGCTCGATTTCATCAACTTTAAAGATGGGTGGACTTCCACACCTAGCATATCGGGGGTCGAAGTCAATGAAAGCTGGCTGGGGAATTCTGGGAGTTTTGAAGATCACCCATCTTAAAAGTTGCAGAAAACTGCTTTCGACAATCCCTTTCGTTATGCTTTCATGCTGTTTTGAGCTGTCTTTTATTTCTTCTTCTCTGCTTGACATGATTTTAAAAAGGCACCAAGTTTGGGACCCCACTGGTACCCCAAAAGGAGAAGTCAGCTGGCTTGATATCTTAAGGGTGAAGGATTAAAAAAAAAAATTTTTTTTTCCAGAAATACTGAGTTTGGCGGCTAGGGGACAGACAAATTATTTCCTTGCCAAGAATTGGGGATTTTTTTTTTGGTAAAATGTGGGACACAGGAAAAAGTCACCTTCACCTTTGCTGTGTTCTTCAAATGCTGCTAGGACAATCTGTGGAAAGGCTAAAGTGATGTCTTCAAAGAAAAGAACCCATGGCAGCAGTGATGCTGTGCTATAATAAGTCCAACATTTGCAGATGTGGGGCTAAAATCCACATCCTGTCTCTTTGGTCTTGTAATAAATGTGCTTCTTTTGTATGGTGGAACTTCATTTTTCCCCTTGGCAAAGGGATGAGAAAAAGCATATACCTAGATAAGCAGGGATTAACACCAGACAAACAATCAAGCAGAAAGCAATACCCTATTCAAGGGAGTTACCAAGGAGAAAAGTATACCCTGACTAAAAATCACAGGGCAAAGTACTATATACCATATTTCCCAGAAATAAGACCCTGTCTTATATTTTCTGAACCCCAAAATAAGCGGTTGGCCTTATTTTCAGGGAGGTCTTATTATTTTGGGGCACGTGGAGCAAGACGGGGCTCCTATCTTACCTGATTTCCAGCTCTGTCTCCCTAACCCTAACCAGAGGAAATGGCGGGGACTGGCTGAACATGTGTTTAAATATTTTTGGGGAGGGCTTATTTTCGGGGGGGAGGTTTATTTTAGTGCATGCATTCAAAAACCCGATTGGGCTTATTATCAGGGGATGTCTTATTTTCGGGAAAACACGGTATAAACATTCCCTCACACTGATGATGTTATCTAGTCAGGTAATGAAATGTCCTGCAAGCAAACAGCCAAGCTCAGAGAGCACCAAGAACTCCATACTGCAACTCAGTCTGTGCATTCTAGGTATTGTAATCCTACCTGTTCTGGAGGGCCATTTTTATCGGAAAACTGAATCACTTCAGTTATGGTTTCCTTTTGAGAGATTCAGCTATGATTGCTCAGTAATAGAATTATTATATCCACCTCAAAGCGACATATATTCTCCAAAAATGACAGAAGGATCTTTTTGTAACTAATTTTTCAGATTTATACATAAAATAAGGTAGTTTCCTCCTCCACCATTGCCAGGAACTGCTTGTAAACACTGAGAAAGCATCGCTTTTTAAATGAATGCATTTCCATTTTATCCGTAGCTTCTCTAAATTATTGGAAATCTTTACTCTTTGCCTGCTTCTGCTCTCTTCCAATTTCCTTGCATCCAACTTTCCCTCCCCAAAATAAATTAGAGAGGCAAAATTTAACAAACAGTAAAAGAAAATAGCAAAAAAAAAAAAAAAAAGAGAGAGAGAGAGGCTTAAGTGGTACAGAATAGACCACAACTCCAATTTAAGCCTCAGATATTTTCAGAGACAAATTTTATCGATCCCGAAACGCTTTCCTTGAAGAAAGTTGCCACCACATAATGTTTAAATCTTCTCCCAACCTCATTGGGAACATGCATTTATTCAGACCTTAAATAACCCTGACAATCCTAATGAAGACCAATTAGCTAAATGAGAAATATTGACAGATCCGAGCAATTAAGTTGGTCTAACCAACTAAGCTAACATGGGGGAAAAAAAGAGATTAGGATTTACTCACAGATGTTTTTTTTCCCTCCACCACCGTTTATTTAGGAGAAATTTAATTTGGTTGAATAAAGTCCAGCAGAACCTTCTAAGAGAAAAGTAGGAATTTATTCACAGTGGCTCAGAAACATAAGGAGTAAAAAGGCCAAACTCGGGACTCCATTTTTGATAGTCAGAATAGAAATGGCACATTCCATATGAAATAAAACTTGAGTCACAGCAAACCTTGTAGCTTGCTTGTTACAAATACATTGATTAGGGGGCGAGATGTTAAGATTGATTTCCTACAATAAAGTGATCTTATTTGGACACGGTGAACACACTCCTGTCATCATTCTACCCTCCAAGTGTATTTTTTAAAACAATATTGCAGGGAATTTGCATTCCACAAGATAATCCCCAAATTGTCAAATATCCAAATGCGTTTGCAAACAGTAATTTGATTGCATGGCAGGACTCCTACAGCATGCTTTTAAAATCCACAAGGATTAGATCTTAATTTCAAGTCCCAGATTTTCTCTCTTTAAAAACAACCTCTTGGGAGAAGGAAAACACTTTTTCAATTTTTTCTTTTTCTTTTTTGCAAACTCACGTTATACAATTAGAGCCACCTTCTTCAAACCCAAGAATTCAGGGTCCCCATTTCTGATTACCAGTTGCCTTAGATGGTTCGAAGGAAGAAAAGCAATTTTAGAGGAAATATCAGTCAAATAGATGCGGCGGCTCAGTGGCTGAGACGCTGAGCTTGTCGATCGAAAGGTCGGCAGTTCAGTGGTTCGAATCCCGAGTGCCGCGTGACGGGGTGAGCTCCTGTTACTTGTCCCAGCTTCTGCCAACCTAGCAGTTCGAAAGCACGTTAAAAAATGCAAGTAGAAAAAATAGGGACCACCTTTGGTGGGAAGGGAACAGCATTCCATGCGCCTTTGGCGTTGAGTCATGCCGGCCACATGACCATGGAGACGTCTTCGGACAGTGCTGGCTCTTCGGCTTTGAAACGGAGATGAGCACTGCCCCCTAGAGTCGGGAACGACTAGCACATATGTGCGAGGGGAACCTTTACCTTTACCTATCAGTCAAAAGGGACAGCCACACTATATTTGAATTATCCTCAGAGATGATAAGGGATGGAAAGAGGGGGGCGGGGAGAAAGCATCAGAGTGGTAAAAAGTAACAGGACAAAATAGCAGCTTTCGCCAGAGCTCTAACCCCAAGAGTTTAAAAACCAGTTTTAGACCAAGTCAGAACAAATCACATTTCCAAATCATTTTGTCAGGCTTCCAAGTAACACCCCCAACGAAAGAAAACTCAGAGGCTCAAGTTTCCTCAAAGTTCCATTTTATTAGCCATATTGGCACATCTAGGAAAACCCAAAATCTGAAAGTTTCCAGGTTTTCCTCACTCAAAGGAAAGTTCAAGTCCCTGCCCAGCACCCACATATCCATCACATGGTCTAATCCAAGCAACCATCCCAACTGGAGATACCTCCCAGTTCCAGTCGTCCAGGTGCAGGGCAAGATGGCCTTGACTCTCTGAGAAAGGAGTGTTATTATGACTATATATCACCCTGGCTCCATACAATTCCCCCCTCCCAGTTTCCCACAGCAGTAAATGTGGCAGGCCTGAAGGTCCAATACAAAAGAGATGGCTTCCAGGTCTGACACATTTCCTTCTTGGTTTTAAAATTTATATCATCTCAGTCCTTTTTGTACTGAACCACAGACCACTCCTGCAATAAAATATCATCCAATACAGAGGAGGAACTGGAGACCAGAAGCTGCTTGCTTGTATTAAGAGACACCAGAGGGTGTAAATGATATGCCGAGAAGGCCTTGGGAGAATGGATCAAGAGACACCACCTAAGGAACTGTCAGATAAGGGATTGCATAGCCCACAGCTGTATAATGGAAGGAACAAGAAGTCCAGAAAGAATCCTCTCTAGTTTCTTGGGTTGTATAGGGGGGTGGGGTGGGAAAAGAACTGTAATTTCAGTCTTGCAAGATTCTGCTAATGTAGCTTTACAATAAATCAGATTTAATTTATCTGGCCTGGTATCCTGTCTCAGTAAAGCTGATAGAGGGATTCCCATAAATTATACTTAAAAACAAGCAGTAAACTGGATTCAGCTGGATATCGGAACCAACCACAACCTAATATCCGATGGACCGTACAATACGCCTCCATCCTCCCAGCTGCTGAGACAGTGATAGGCTCCGAACCAAAAGATGATGAGAGCCATAAAAGGGAAAATTAAAATGAAAAAAAGAGAATGCTTAAATTCCACCCCTTGTATATGGTAGCAACATCATGGCTGTATTAGCACACTCGGAAAGAAAGGAGAAGGTATTTTTTGATGTATATTTTAGAGGAAGTTATAAATGATTATGTTAAAAGTAAAGGAATATAAAAGAGATTTATTTGATTAAGGCTAAAATATATATGTTGCTGTTTCTGGTAACTCTTAATGGACTTTTCCTGAATAGGATTGAATGATGGGAGATTTTAAGAATTTGTTTTTTTTGACAAGAACCCTGACAATATGTAAAGAAGAGAGACTTTGTTATTGTATCAAGGAAGGTAATAAGTTATTGAAATTGTTTGCATTTGTCTTGATGAAGGGTGAAGTCATTTGTATCTTTTTTCTTATATCTATTTACCCATCCATTTGTTGCCCCATCAGTCATTCTACCTTTTTACCATCCATCCATCCATCCATCCACCTATCTACCTATCATTCATTCGTATTATCTGTCCGATCCTATCTATCTGTCTGTCTGTCTGTCTGTCTGTCTATCCATCTATCATCTAAATTCCTATATCTATTTACCTATTTACCTATATCTATGTATTCATCTATCAATCAATCTATGTATCTATCTATCTGTATATCATCTCTCTCTCTATCATCTCTCATCTATCTAAATTCCTATATCTATTTACCTATTTACTTATAATCTAACTATTCTTCTATCCATCTATCCATCATCTATCATCTATCGTCTCTCTATCATCTCTATCAACTCTCTCTCTCTCTCATCTATCTAAATTCCTATATCTATTTACCCATTTACTTATATCTAACTATTCTTCTATCCATCTATCCATCATCTATCCATCATCTATCGTCTATCTATCATCTCATCTCTCTCTCTCTCTCATCTATCTAAATTCCTATACTATTTACCTATTTACTTATATCTAACTATTCTTCTATCCATCTATCGATCTATCTATCATCTATCTATCAATCATCTATCATCTATCTATCTATCATCTCTCTATCAATCATCTCTCTCTCTCTCTCTCTCTATTTCTATCTGCCAAGTTCTTGATTTTGCAGAGAAAGCCAAAAAGAACGGAGACGAGACACATTCGTTCCAGGCATCATTTATTGAAAACACACCAAACTGTTAAACCTACACACCTGGTTTTCATCAAGCATTCTACTCGTCTGGGTTACGGAAATTTCCTAGAATAATATTAATACATTCGGGTTACGTTAAAACATCGGTTGTGTGAAAGCAAACTCCATCCCCCGCTCCCTCTCGTCTTCAAACCAAACCGAATCTGTTTGTTGTAACAGTACAAATAACAACGCAGAAAAGGGACATTAACACCCCCAGCCTAAAACTACCGCATTGGTCTTGGGAAGGTTACAGAAAGACAAGTGTCGGTTTCACTTGAGGGTTAAGGGGGTCTTCCCCTACCCTTCACCTCATCCCTAATCCCCCCCAACAAGAAAAAAATTTAAGGCACATGATTGTTACAAACACGTTGATTAGGGGTTAGATGTTCGGTTTCCCACAATACCTGACCTTTACGTTGGGCACGAAGGGTGAACACACTCGTATCATGATTCTACCCTCAAAGTGGGTTTTTTTTTTTTTTGCTTTTAAAGAAAAATCTTGCTTGCACTGAAACCATTTCTTTTTTTTTCTTGCCCAAGCTGTGATCTTACCCCCCACTCCCTACTAAAGATTCATCTGGCGGTTTTAAAAATAAAACATAAAAAAACATTTTACGGGCTTATTATCCCTGTCCGAGACCATTTCTCTCCCCTCCCGGAGATTGTTCCCAATGAAATGCAAAGTTGGTTGGCACATCTGTATTGTGGAACAACACCATTAGACGCCGTTCGCACGCCACTGACTTGGTGACATGTGTACACGTGTGCTTAACGTGTAGCAGAAAGGCTGGTAGAGTCCTGACCATCCACTGTCCTGTACCGCTTTTAGACTGAAGTTTGCACCGTATGTAAACAAATAACGCAACAAACGAACCCCAAAAATAATAAAAATGTTCAGCACCTGGCAAGCTAGCATGGTAAGGCACAGGATGGACTACACCTGTTGTTGAAATTAGTCTCGTCATTATAGGCGGTCCTCGGCTTACGACTGGCCCTTTAGCAACTGCCCAAAAACTGCTGATAAATCAGGGGTGAAATGTAAAATTTGTTACTACCGGTTCTGTGGGCATGGCTTGGTGGGGGTGGGGAGGTAATGTGACTGGGTGAGTGTGGCCAACTTTTTTTTTAAAAAAAAACTTTTCAAGGCATTTTTTCTAATGCTTTGAAAAGCCTCTGGCAATCAGGCAACTCAGCTGGCATCGTCAGAGAGGCTTTTTAAAAAATGCCTTTCTGCCGATCTGGAAACTCAGCTGGGATCGTCAGAGACTTTTCAAAGCATTTTTTTAACCACCTTTTTGGCCAAGAGGTTGCAGAAAAAAATGCTTTGAAAAGCCTCTGACGATCCCAGCTGAGCCGCGCGATCCTCAGAGGCTTTTTTTTTTTAACTTTTAAAAGCATTTTTTCGTCGGAAGAGAAAACTCGGGCGAGTTTCGAGGTTTAAAATGGCCTTCCTCCCTGTGCTCGATTGTGGGAATCCCACATTTGCGTCCATTTGCAGCAAGCCACAGTCCTTTGACTGCCGACTTTCGGCATGGTGGTACTTCTGATTTCGGACAAAACGTGCCCCTTGGCCAAAATAGGTTTCATTGGATGACTGTGGCAAAAGTCATTGTAAAACGGGACCCGCTTAAAAACTGACTTGATTTATGACCCAAATTCAGGTTTCAATTATGGCCGTTAAGTCGAGGACTATCTTATACAGGTAGTCCTTGACTTAAAACAGTTCATTTAGTGACTGTTTAAAGTTACGGCGGTACTGAAAAAAAGGGACTGATGACCGTTTTTCCACACTTAACGACCGTTGCAGAATCCCCGTGAGCAAAATCCAGACGCCTGGCCACTGATTCATATTAATGACTGTTGCCATGTCCCGGGGTCCACTTTTGTGAACTTCTGACAAGCCGGATTCACATAA